CTATATAACTGCTTTCATCAAAGGTAGCAAACTGACGTTCATTAGGAGTCAACCCAGACAAGTGTTGTACGACACATGAAGACAGCTAATGGTTAACTCGGTCAATTGTTGAGGAATTTGGCCGCTTATTTATTATGGGAAAGATCTAAGCTTTCTATATTTTAGTTTGGAAAAACTCTTTGGTATGGATTTTCAAAATAATTATTGGAAAATTCAATGTTTGATCTTGAAGGTCTCCGATTTCTGAGGGATATCTCCAAATAAGTCATTGTTTGACAAATCCATTCCAGTCATAAAGTTAAGAATGTCACCCTTGTAAGAATCATACCTATTCTTGTCAAAATCACTTCAAAGGAATGATATAAATATGGAAAAGCATCTTCAAACCAACCCAATGAAAAATGGAATTGTAGTGAGATGATTCATAATCATGAAATTGGTAAGTGCCAAACCAATTGACCTATAGCTCAATATGAATATCACTTGGTCCTTCCAAAATATCATCCTAATAAAGCATGAAGGTATGATCCATTAAGTCTATTATGTGAAAGATCTAAGATGCTAGGTTTCTAATTGACATAACTGATTAGGTATAGGACCTTGCAAGTGATTGCCTCCCAAAAGAAGAACACGTAAACTTGAATGCTTATGATCAATTAGGAATACTTCCTGAAAATTGGTTGTCCCTCAAATGAGCATCAATAATTCAGAGTTTAAACAGTGACTTTGGAATTGGCCGGTGAAAGCATTCTTCGCATGAACAAACTCTTGGATAGATGAAAAATAAAAAAAAGATGTAATGGGTCCAGTCAAATTATTTTCAGAGACATCTAAAACCATAAGGGATGACAACTTGCTTAATTGACAGGAATATTTCCTTCTAGAAGGTTTTTTGACATTAGAGAAAATGAGGCGTTGAAAAGTTTCCATCCAATTGGGAACTTGACCAGATACTTGTTGTTGGAGATATCTAAGGCTCGTAAAGATGTAAATTTTGTAATCCTTTCCGATTTTTCCACTAAGTGTTATTGTTCAAATATATGAGCCAATGGAGGCATTCATATATTGAGGAAATATTTGCCCATTAAATTGTTGTTGACAAGTTCAAAATTCCAATGAGAAGCAACCAGGAGAAAATCAGATGGTAACTCTCCTGAAAAATGGTTGTTGACAAATCCATCCTTGTAATTTCACCCATTGATATATTCTTAGGGAGTGGACCATTGAAATTGTTGTGAGAAATATCAAAACGGTAATGGAATCATGTGGGGTGTGGCAGTTTAAGAGTTCCTGAGAATGAGTTGTTCACCAAAGCATTCCTCTCAAGTTTGTGTTATTTACTAACAACCAAGATGGAAATGCACAACCAACTTATTATGAGAGAGGTCAACGGTAATAAGTCATATTGGTATAGAAGAAAACTAGGGAAGCATTTAGTTGCAATGAGTTAACTGAGGCCTTCAACTGAAATGCAGGGAACCAATTATCATTTTCCACTTAACGAGTTGTTTCTTGATGAGAGCAAGTATCTGAAGCTTTGAATGGTTTGCCCATGAACTTAGAGAATATTTTCCTAAAGTTTTCCGGACATCCAAATATCAAGAGATTTTGTGTGAGTAAAGCAGATGGCAAAATTCCGCTTAATTGATTTGATGAAAGAACAAGAACCTTGAGGTAGGTGAAGTTGGTGAGACATGAGGGACTTGACCAACCAATTAGTCCTCAAGATTTAGTTCAACAAGATCCATTAACTCACATATTCCTATAAAAAAGTTGAAGAAATCAGCCAACTAGCTATATAGTGAAAAAATTTCATTAAATACTATATTAATTAGAAAACAATATGTAAGTTTTACATACCCGAACTTGTAGAGAGCCATTCATTTCATATAACTGAGATCCAATGCTTTCAAACCTTTCAAATTCGCTAAACCTAAACCAATGAAAAGATAAAAGAATTTGAAAATAGATAGTTGGAAATTATAGAAAAATAAGATCAACAACATCTTCACAATTGTCAATTGAGACCAAAGAGATAAAAACCGAAAATAAATAATCAAACAAATTTGAAACAAGTATGAAAATTTGTAAAAGGTTATAATATAATTTCTAGATTGCTTTCTTACTTTTAATATTATAAATATTTAATTTTCGTACACCAATTGTAAGAGTGTAGAAAGTTCCTTTCAGTTAATATATTGTGATGTGGCAACAAAAGAGTTGTACCATACATCATATATATACAAATTTATATTTATATAATTAATTCTTCCTGCAGTTCCACTCTTTAATTAATTAATTCTTAATATTACTCTATTAAATCTATTTAATCTCAAATCTAGTAAACCTTTCTACCTTATATTTTTTTTTGCATTCTTTCATTTCATTACAACCACCAAAAATAGTAATATTACTTGTTATATTTTGAAAAATTACTAAAATCATAATTAATTACTAAACAAAATCAATTTAGTGTTTGTTATATAATTTTCTTGCAATATAAATTTCTCAAAATTATTTTAAAAGGACATATAATTCAAATATTAGTTTAAGATGTATCATCTATAAACAAATAACCAAATCGGATTTGCGAGCCATAACTTCTAGTTTTTATTCAAATTTAGACCAATTACAAGGAGCATTGATCTTGAAATGAAAAAGATAAATTGTATTGTACCTAACCAGCTATGAAGTTGCGCGTTAGCTTCAACGTTTCCAAGGCTGTTAGATTATCTAATCCTATACCAACAAAGAAAATATTGACTTATAAATAAAAAATTAATTCAGAAAATTATAAGATTAACTCAAGTTCTAAAGGAATGATATCCGGACAATTAATATAATCTAACATATCTATCTAAACATGTATTAAAGAATAATTAGGAAATTAATAATCAACAATTTCAACCTTTCCAAATTTGATAAACCTAAGAGAAATGAAAAATTAAAATGAGACATTTAGAACACAGGTAAATAACTTGGATATACTTATTTAACTGGAAAAGTCAAATTAATTAAAATTGTACTGAAAATTAACTTTTTTTAATTTAATTATTGGAAAACATTAATTTGATATATTTGGAAAAGATAGTCCTATTTAATTTCTTATTCTAGTTCTATATTTAAATCTCATTGTTCTTTAATATCCATAGAAAATACTGTGAAGAGCTCTATAATTTAAAATTTTTTTCATATTTCCTCACATTTTTCTTTAAAAAAAAAAAAACTAGTGATCCAAAAAAAAAAACCATCAAAGTACATGTTTGAAATATAAAAAACACGATTTGTTAGATCGCAGCTTATGCATTATATCTTAGATCCAATATCTCCAAGGTTGTAAAATTTCTAATCTTGTACCAATAAATAACTAAAATTTTAAAATCAGATAGAAAAAGTAAGATAATACATATGTGTATTTAAAGATAAATTGAGTATCATATTGAAAATGAAGTATTTTGATCTAATTTATTAAAGAACCACTTGAGAATCAAAAGGTTAAGTTGTTATAAAAAGTTCAACATTGGAATTTAGTATACATATTTAAATTAAGGGTTTCAAAGTGTTAAAGCAATGGATAAAATTATTAAAATAGTTGTGACCAGATGGCTGTAACTTAAAATTTGATCTAAAACTTTGACAAATATTGGTTGTCATAATGTTACTAGCGAAGTAGAGAACCGCTCATTCCTTATATGCCATATTCAACTCTTCAAGTTTTTAGATTTTGTAAACCTGCACAAGAGACATTGGATGAGAAAATAAGACAGTGAAGTAATCATGCGAATGATAATTTTATCTTGTATAGTAGTACCATACACTAAACTACTTATAGAAAATCTTTTAAATAAATTACTGATAGTTTGTAATGCTATCTATTTAATTTTAATTTGTGCAAGAGTACTTGTAATTATACTTTTTTTCAAGTGTGATATATATAGCATACCTAAAACTTGCTAGAAAAGTGTATTTGATTATCACTTAGATCCAAGCTTTTCAAGTTTGTCAAATTTGCTAAACCTGCACAAATAAAAACAAAAACACAAACCAAGAAGAAATAGAATTTGAAATGTAGGTAGAAAATACAGAGAGAAAAAAAATTAAAAAATTAAGTAAATATAATATAATATTGAAGCAATTTGAGAAGATGATTGTAACTTAATATTTGATGGTTGTAGTTATTGTTACCTAGCAATGTATGAGCCGCTCATTCCATATAACTCCATCCAAATCTTCAGTTTCTCACATTTTAATCCGTGCCAAGAGAACCATTAGATTTTAAATTGAAAAATCATTTTTATTTTATTCATAAGTTGTCATATTGCAAGAGTGTTTCAAAAATTAATAGATATTGCATACCTAGGCTTGATAGAGAGTTGTGATTTGATTCTCACGAGATTTAATACTTTTAGGTTTGTCAATTTGCTAAACCTGTGCCAAACAATAAAAGAGATTTAGAGTTAATTAAAAGCAGATTGATGGAAATTTTAATAAAGAAACTGATTTTAAGAAAATTATCTTTATATAAAACAGTTAATTTAAAATTAAAATATTGGGCACTCCAACATGTAGAATTTTAACTATAATATTAGTATATATTATCTTCCGATTTGTCACTACATATATCAATCATGTCATTATATAAAAATTGTAAATTATTATATGCTATCAAACTCGAAATTTTAATCACTTAGAAGAGAATCTAGGAAAATGTGAGGAAATATTTTTCCATATTTCCTCACATTTTCTTAAAAAAAAAAAAAATCTATTGATCCAAAAAACAAACCATCAAAGTACATGTTATGAAATATACAAAGCACGATTTTGTTAGATCGCTGCTTATGCTATTATATCTTAGATCCAATATCTCCAAGGTTGTTAAATTAAGGGTTTCAAAGTGTTAAAGCAATGGATAAAATTATTAAAATAATTGATACCAAATGATTGTAACTTTAAAATTTTGATCTAAAACTTTGACAAATATTGGTTGTCATTAATGTTACCAAGCGAAGTAAGAGAACCGCTCATTCCATTATTTAGCATATTCAACTCTTCCAAGTTTTTTAGATTTTGTAAACCTGCACCAAGAGACAGTGGGATGAGAAAATAAGACAGTGAAGTAATCATGCGAACGATAATATTTCAATCTTTGTATAGTAGTACCATACTACTAAACTACTTATATAAAATCTTTTAAATAAATTAACTGATATGTTTGTAATGTTATCTATTTAATTTTTAATTTTATGCAAGAGTACTTCTAATTATACTTTTTTTCAAGTGTGATATGTATAGCATACCTAAACTTGCTAGAGAAGTGCTAATTTGATTATTACTTAGATCCAAGCTTTTCAAGTTTGTCAAATTTGCTAAACCTGCACAAATAAAAACAAAAGCAAAACCAGAGAAGAAATTGAATTTGAAATGTAGGTAGAAAATACAGAAGAAAAAAAATTAAAAAATTAAGGTAATATCTAAATATAATTATTGAAGCAATTTGAGAAGATGATTGTAACTTAATATTTTGATGGTTGTAGTTATTGTTACCTAGCAATGTTAGAGAGCCGCTCATTCCATTACCACTCAAATCCAACTCTTCCAAGTTTCTCAACATTTTTAATCCTGTGCCAAGAGAAACCATTAGATTTTGAATTGAAAAATTCATTTTTAATTTTTTATTCACAAGTTGTCATATTGCAAAGAGTGTTTCAAAAATTTAATAGATATTGCATACCTAGGCTTGATAGAGAGTTATTGATTCGATTCCAATCGAGATTTAATACTTTTAGGTTTGACAAATTTGCTAAACCTGTGCCAAACAATAAAAAAGATTTAGAGTTAATTAAAAGCAAGATTGATGGAAAATTTTAAGAAAAGGAAACTGATTTTAAGAAAATATTATCTTTATATATAAAACGTTAATTTAAAATTAAAATATTTGGGCACTTCAACATGAACATTTAGAATTCGAACAATAATTTTTACCAAACAAAATTGAACAACTTGTAATATTATTTCTTTTATTCTTCTATTATAAAACTATTAATACACCATAATTAGAAAGAAAAAAAATATAGTCTTTTTTTTTTTATCACTTAAATTCTTTTCTATAATATTAATTATTAATATAATTAATATAAAATTGTATAAATTTAAACATCATTAGTTTAAAAATACATTATGTATCCAATAATTACTAAGTTTTTAGTGTTTAGAGAAAAAAGAAAAAGAAAAACAGCCCCTAAGTTTATACTTGCACCAATAAAAAGAGTTTTTTTTTTTTTTTTTAAATAAGAAATAAAAAGATTAAGATTAACTAATAAGAAATTAAAGAATAATACTTAAAACATATATACCTTGTTTGGCCGATTTCAAACCTTCTCCCATATTATTCCATCCAAGATTCAAAGTGGTAAGTGAAGTTAAGTTATTCAAGTATGGTAAAAGAGTGGCGTTGAAGTAATTGTAACTAAGATCCAAGATCTTGAGCTGTTTCAAACACCTGAAGCCATCATATGCTGTAAAGGTAATGTCATTACATTATTGACTCAATATATTTGTTATTTACTCAACATATTTATTCATTATTCCAAGAACACAATTAATGCATCAACATACATATATAGCTCAGAACAATCTGCATAGCTTATATAATCTATTTTTATACATCAATATAGTACTTTTACAATTAATTAACAAATTAATAAGCATGTTTTGTAATTTAATTAAGGGTGTCAACAATGACATAAATTTTTTGTCTGACCCATATTCTAAATGTAAACAATGAAAAAAGTTTTAAAAATAAATAAATATATATTGCTAGACTGTTGCAAAAGTAATTTAATTGGATCATATATTTTAAGCTAATTACTTAAATAATATACATACCTCTATTCTCGTGCCAACCTTCAAAGAAATTGTAAGATAAATCAAGACTTTTCAACTCTTCAAAAGGATGAAACAAGGATAAATTTAGAGTAGGAAGTCTATCAAGAGAGTAATATTGACTAAATTGCCTTGTATCATTAAGGGAAAGTTTGATAACACGTCCAGTAGTGGCATTGCATTGAACTCTCTCCCAGTCACAATAATTAGACATTTTATCATCAACCCATGAAACAAGAATTTTTTCCGTTTGAAAATCACTGACTTCTTTTATGAAGGACTTTAAATCTAACAGACTAATCCTCTCATTTTCCAAAGAACTATTGAATCTAGATGTTTGAACCAAAACTAATACAACCCAAAATGACAACTTAATTAACACTCTTTCCATTGTAACAATTCTCTCTCTAAACACCTATCAATTTGCTTGTTCACTCTGCTTCAAGTTTTTCTTTATTCCCCTTTTTGTGTTGATTTATATAGAACTAAATTTGAAATCTCTATCAACTTTTGTGTTTTTAGTCATGACAATCTCAATAAACTAATGGAGTAAATTAGCCGGCCAATAATACTATTTAATATGGTCTTAGCAATCTCAATCAATTAATGGGTCAATAGTTTTTGTTTGTTTAGTTTACCTCAAACTTGAAAGGTCAAATCAATGATTTATTAAGTAATATTAGCCAAAAACGATTAATTTTTTTATTTTTAACCAATAATACTTTTGTGTTTTTAGTCATGACAATCTTAATAAACTAATGGAGTAAATTAGCCGGCCAATAAAACTATTTAATATGGTCGTAGCAATCTCAATCAATTAGCCGGCCAATAATACTTTTTTTTTTTTTTTTTAGTCATGACAACATCAATAAAGTAGTGGAATAAATGGGATGACCAATAATTTTAGTTTGTTTTTTTCTTAACTAATTTGCCAAAATATTAATAGAAATTATTAGGCTTTTAAAAATTTTATATAAAAAAGGATTACTGATGATGATATGGCAGTAATTAATGATTTAAATCAATTTATTGGAAATATATATGCACTCACTCACACACATGCAGGGAATTAATTACTTGACATTAAAACATTAAATTTATTTATCATAAGATAACTCTGATAATCTTTTAATCCTTTATATTTTTTTATTTATCAATTGATATTTAAAATTACAAGTCAATTACTATTTTGGTCTTAACAATCTCAATCAATCGATGGCCCAACCTTTTTTGTTCTTTTAGTTTACCATAAATTTAAAAGCTCGACTAAAGACTTTCTGACTATTCACTCATCAACTTTAATAATTTCAATAAAATAATGGAATAAATTGAACGGCCAACAATTTTTATTCCTCTAATTTTTAATAAAAGGGAAATATTTCCTTAACCCCCATGTGTTTCGTATAATTATCTAAGCACCGTTGGTTTTTGAAATAAATTTTTGTTCAACTATTAAAAGACATTTTTACCCTTGAAACTAAAACTAAGAATCTAAATATTATCCCAAACCTTTTAAATGTTATCAAATTTTCAGAAAATTTATCAAATTTTATTTTTACCTAAAAAAAACTTTAAAATTATTCCCTTTTACGCAATAATCTTAAAATCAAATTAAAATTATTAAATTCAACATCTCCCATTCTCCTTCCATCCAAACCCGCCATTTAAATCAGTAAACTCAACACAAATTCTTTCATCATCCATCTTAGAATTTTCAATTAAACAAGCTTTTTTCACACCACCACAAAATCCACCATATACCATTGAGAAAGCCACACGCAAACCCACCGTATATCATCATCACCATGGATCTTCACCAAACAATTTTTTTTTAACAATCAATTTCATGTAATATTTTCACTCATTAATGGAAGCTGCTTAACATGACAACTAAGGTTTAACAATTTAAAAATAGAACAAATAAAAAACTAAAAAAAGAAAAATTGGAAGTTGTTGTGGACTCGTGGTGGTCATGGCCATCACCAGAGCAGTAGGATTTAGTTGCCGGCATGGCCCATATGGCCATCCAAATCTACCCGTCGACATGGCCCAAATGACCGGCCAGATCTGGCTATCTTTATGGCCTCACACAAGCATGGATGCCATGATAGATCTGAGAAAAACAACTTTTTAATAAACTTTTTAACATAATAATAAATATTGAAATTTTAATAACTTTATTCCACACAATAACAATAACCTCAATGAAATTTGATGTTTTAAAATTGATTATTGTCAGTATTATTAAAAACATTAAATAAAAGAAATCAAATTACATAACGAAACCCAGATAATACACTGATTTTCTAAAAGTAATCTAAATTAAACAAATCAATTAGAAGAGGAACTCTATGGTAACAAGATATTTTTCCTACATTAAAAACAAAATCATCAAGTTTAGGGAAAAATATAAACTTTATAATTTTTTTACCATAACGATCAATTAAATTCGTATGACATGGAGACCTTATTTATTTATAATCTAAATATTGCTTTATCTTGTTTTTGGGTTTGATGATTGGATTAGTAATTTAGAAATTATATAAATTGACTAAGGTGTAATTGCAAATTAAAAAAACTTGTAGATTCTTTTGAAAATTTCAGGAAGGGCATTGAACGAAATAGAGAAGCAACTGGAACAAAATAATAAGTAAACAAAACAAACAGTAAAAAAAATTAACGCGCGATTACCCTGTTCACCCAATGTGGGCTACGTCCAGCTGAGTCAATATTATTGAAATATGCCTCACCTCTCTCGTTACAATGAATGAATTGCTCTCACACACATAACAAGGAAAAGAATGTTTATATACTAGGTTTAAGAGATTAAACCTAGTTTTACAAGAATCCTATTCCTAAGCCCAACCCAAAAAGGAATTAATAACTTAAAAGGAATCCTACAGCGGTTATACATGGAAAAGCCCAGAACCGCCTACGGGCTCGGGGGCGCTGCCCCCGCGACCCCCGCCCGCTCACCGGGAGCGGGCACCCGCCCGCTGACCGTCCAGGGACCCCCGAGTGCGTCTCTGTTACCCTTAATGCTGAAGTAGTCGACAACTCCAACAGGCATTGGCCCACCCTGGCAGTGCTGGCTCCACTACTGAGAATTATTATTTTTGTTTAAATTGAATGGAATCTCAATCAAACAACGGATAAATTGAATGGCTGACAATTTTTATCCTTTAATTTGTGATGACTTTAGTCAAGTCTTTCCTTATATATATATATATATATATATATATATATATAATATATTATATAATATATATTGTTGGTAGTTTTTTAGAGGAAAATATATCTTGACAAATTAAACAAATAAATATCAGATCTTGTAAATTTGTCATTTAAATTACGCAAAATATTAATAGTCTAGTCTTTTATTAAAAGACAGAGAATGAGAACGATATATCAATACATATTTTGACAATATGTATCTTGTATGGGCAAAAGAAAGAATCTCTCTTTAACCTTCGTAATTAGAAGGTTTCTAAATATTGAATTGTCAAAATCATAAAATAACGTAATGAGGTTTGAGCTTTTAATTTTTAAGTTATGATTAAAACAAAATGAAATCATAAGCTTATTCTATGTAAATTGGTTGCATTGTCAAATTTAAGTGAAAGAAATGAATCTTAATGTTATTAGACAGTTGAGCTTCGGAGATTTAGTTTGACGAGTTTAACTTACGATCAAAATCATAAAAAGAATATTAACTAATTCAATTTAAATTCTTATAAAAAATTAACAACAGTGTTCCAAATATTTGAGGCTAGAAACAAGGTCAGATACTAGGAGCTACTTTTCGAAAGTTTGTTTATGTTCGTCAATTTAATGGAGTCTCACAAAAATTTTAAAATTTATAAGGAACACCCTCAATTTTTGAATATAACCCTTTAGCCCTAGTAAATGCAACCATTTTTTCTGGCCCTACAACTCATTGAATATTGCAATTTTCCCCCATAAAAAATTTCTGGTCCCACCTATTGTATACACATATGAAAAGAAGAATACACATGTGAGAGAGAACTGCTACATGAATAAAATATGAGTACAACTACATGATTAAAACATGAGTTGTGTTTATTGTTGAAGAAGATTAATTTCTTATATTTATTGGGTTTATTATAGAGTAATGTTACAGTCACTAAAGTAGTGTACCAAATTTATGTACCGAATGACGTGACAAAATCTTGACCGTTGATTAATATTAAGTTAAAATTAATCAACGGTCAGAATTTTGCCACGTCATTTGGTGCATCAATTCGGTGCACTATCGTCGGTGGCTGTATTATTTTTCTTTATGTTTCATCTTGTTTGTTTCTATTTTCTAACACCTCGAGTATTATAGCCACAAACATAAGAATTGACTTCATAAGGTAAAAATAATAATAATGATAATTTTGAAATTAAATGATACATGAGAATTAGAAAAATAAAATAATTTTAAAACTCTTAATAAATATGTTTAAAAAATTAATCAGTCTAATTATAATTACCTATCCCAAACTTAGGACATGTCGATTACAAGATTAAGACATATTGGTCACATACATTTTCTTTGGTTGCATGAGTTAAAATGCAAAGCCTAAAATAAAGAGTGGGAATTTTATTCGGTCATGTACTTTCTATCTCAATAGTCCTCTTTGTTAAATACAATGTTTAAAATTATAAAAATCTCATTAAATCTAAATTTACTCTCTTTCATTATATATAATATTTGAATTATATAATTTTAGATGGCCCACCCTAGGACAGTGCTAGCTCCACCACTAAGAATTATTATTTCTTATTTAAATTGAATAGAGTCTCAATCAAACAGTGGAATAAATTGAATTGCCAACAACTTTTTATCCTTTATTTAATAATAGTGTTTTAACTTTTATTTACAATTAAATTTAGACAACCATACTTTAAATAAAATGGAAAATATATTTATTTACGTTAGAATAATTACAAATAACAATTTTTAAGTTATATGAATATTTTATTTAAGAGTTTTTTATTCCAATCCTGTGTAATCCCACATGTACATAATTAAATTTGGGATTATTAATTCAATTTGTTGAAAGCCATCAGACATAAGATCGGGAATAAAATAGTCCAATCTTAAGACTTACCCAATCCCCAAACATTACCTTACTCTTATTTACTTTAAAGTTTAAGGTAAATTATTTGAAATATGATATTCTAAAAAACTATTCTAAATGAGATAAGATTAAATCAAATATAATATGATTCTAAAATGTGTTTAATACATTTTTACAAAACATTTTCTAAAAATATTTAGGATGCATTTGTTGAA